AAAAAAAAAACAAAAAAAAAAAAAAAAAAAAAAAACAAGTTTGAGTTACGGTTGAATGGGACGTGACCACAGCGAGCAGATTGACTTTCTACGACTGGGTGACTAGTCTGGTAGATGAGGGAAGGGCTGTTGATGTAGTCTTCCTAGTCTTCAGCAAAGCCTTTGACACGGTCCCTCACAGGCTTCTTCTGGGGAAACTGGCTGCCCGTGGTCTGAACAGATTTACACTTCTTTGGGTAAGGAACTGGCTAGAGGGCCATGCCCAGCAGGCAGTGGTGAATGGAGTGAAGTCCAGCTGGCGACCCGTTTCAAGTGGTGTCCCCCAGGGGTCGGTACTGGGGCCCATCCTGCTTAATATCTTTATTGATGACCTAGATGAGGGAATTGAGTGTACAAACTGAGTAAGTGTGCAGATGACACCAAGCTGGGAGGTGGTGTTGATCTGCCTGAGGGTAGGGAGGCCCTTCAGAGAGGGATTTAGACAGGCTGGACTGCTGGGCTGAGGTGAACGGGATGAGGTTCAACAAGGCCAAGTGCCAGGTCCTGCACTTTGGGCACAACAACCCCATGCAGCACTGTAGGCTTGGGGGATGAGTGGCTGGATGATTGTGAAGAGGAGAAGGACCTGGGGCTGTTGGTTGACGCTCGGCTGAACATGAGCCGACAGTGTGCTCAGGTGGCCAAGAGGGCCAACGGCATCCTGGCCTGCATTAGAAACAGTGTGGCCAGCAGGAGCAGGGAGGTGATCATCCCCTGTACTCAGCACTGGTGAGGCCGCACCTCGAGTATTGTGTTCAGTTTTGAGCTCTTCACTACAGGAAAGATGTTGAAGTCCTGGAACGTGTCCAGAGAAGGGCAACAAAACTGGTGAGGGGTCTGGAGCACAAACCTTATGAGGAGCGGCTGAGGGAGCTGGGATTGTTCAGTCTGGAGGAGGCTCAGGGGAGACCTCATTGCACTGTACAACTTCCTGAAGGGAGGCTGTGGTGAAGAGGGTTTTGGCCTGTTCTCCCAGGCAACGAGCAGGACACGAGGTAACGGCTGCAAGTTGTACCAGAGGAGGTTTAGGTTGGACATAAGGAAGAACTTCTTCTCTCAGAGGGTGGTCAGGCACTGGAATGGCTGCGCAGAGAGGTGGTGGAGTCACCGTCCCTGGCAGTGTTCAAGAGGTGCCTGGATGACGTGCTGCGTGATATGTTTTAGTGCTAGTGGTGGCAATAGTGATGAGGAGATGGTTGGACTGGATGATTTTATAGGTTGTTTCCAGCCTTATGATTCTATGATTCTATGATCTCCTGCTTAAAGAAAGGCTGAGAGATCTTGGACTCTTCAAGCTGAAGAAAAGAAGATTGAGAGGGGATCTCATCATTGTTTATAAATATCTGAAATGTGGGAGTCAAATGGATGGGGACAGGCTCTTTTTGGTAGTGCCCAATGACAGGACAAGAGACAGTGGACAAAAAGTGCAACACAGAAGTTCTATTCAAAGGCAAGGAAGAACTTATTTACTATGGTGGTGACAGAGCACTGGAACAGTTTGCCCAAAGAAGTTGTGGAGTCTTCTTCTCCAGAGATATTCGAAACCCATCTGGACACTTTCTTATAGTACCTACTGTAGGGAACCTGTTTTACCACGGGGTTGGACTAGATAATCCTCTGAAGTCTCTTCCAACCCCTGTGATTCTGTGATTCTGTGAACATACCATTACTATTACTACCATTTATTACTATTACTACTTGTCATATTTGTGATATCTTGTCTGAGTGTGTAGCATGTTCAGAAACTCAGTTCTTAGTATCTGTAATTTTAGATTATTCTGTGGGGCTTTAATTGAACTCTTATTTGCTCTTTTTTTTTTTGTTTGTTAAAAACTTTCCAGTTTTTTCCATCCCATGTTCCATACTCCTAAACGAAGCTAATGTCAGGCTTGCACAATCTGTTGTTGTGTGTGATCTTCAAGCTACTGTACTCTATCTACCACATACCACAATATACTTGAGTAGTCAAAAGTGTAATGTTATCATAATAGTGATACTATAATTTTGTAACAATACAGTGTCACAGCCTTCTGTCATTTAAAAAGATTTGGAGATTGCAGTGTTAATTCCTTTTAAATTGTTGTGTTTTTTTTCATATTATAGCTCAAAAATATATGGTGATGGTAATGCTGTTCCAAGGATTTTGAAGTTCCTTAAATCTATTGACCTCAAAGAGCCATTGCAAAAGAAATTCTGTTTTCCTCCTGTCAAAGATAATATCTCTCAAGATATAGACCACATTCTAGAGACACAGAGTGCTTTGGCTGTGGACTTAGGTGGAACAAATCTCCGAGTAGCAATTGTCAGTATGAAGGTAAATACTATCCTTCTAGCTATTCTGCAAACTTTTGGGGACTTTGTGGTTCTTTTCCTAGAATGGAGATATGCTTAGGATGCAGAAGACTTGAGGAAAGAAGCAGTATGGTCCTAGTTGCATGCCTTCCGCACAAAGTCGTATGATCTTAGAAGTACAGGGCAAGTTTCTGATTTGTTGGCCTGAGTTCACCATGCAGCTTTTCATTTGTCAGCAAAGAGGGAAGGGTTCCATACCCTGTCTCGTTACTTTCCTGTTGACTTACACAGCTATGTAACAGATGCACAGAACCACTTTTAGTAACAGCCAGTATTTATAAAAGCAGTGTACTCAGAGGAGATGGTGGGTGGTCACAGGACACAGAGTTTTGCATCTCTTCTACCTGGAGAAGAAAAGGTAGTAAGTAATCAAAAAATCTTAGTATCTTCCTACACAGCATCATGATAAGTAGCGGCACCAAACCATACATGGAAAAGCATTCTGTGTAAGACATAACACCACAGAGATGTAAACCACTTGTAGAGAGGCAGGCAAAAAATAAAATACTAATTACGGGCCTGGAAAACAGGGAAAAGTTGAATACACTAGAGTTGTTTAATACAGAGAAAAGTACTGTAGAAAAAAGCCTTCAGATATGTAGAAGCCTTTTCTGTAAGGAGAAAAAATTAGTCCAATATGTGTATGAAGAAATAGCAACAGATTAAAACTACGGAGTGGAAAATTACTTTAAAGGATTTTTTACTATCCAACTTAGCTGTAAATTCAAAAGTTGGAACAGGTTGTTTGGGACAGTATGATGTCTTCATCACAGAAATAGTAGGAACTACTTTTGAAATAGGCTTGAAATTACAGCTTGAAATTAGAGTGTGCATGGAGAGTTAATGGTACCCATGCTTAGAACTTCACCTACCCATTTGTCTGCTAACATGGCACAGTAAGAACCTTTTCTTTGCCTGTGCCATAGAACGGATAAGGATCCATTGTGTGCATAGTTTTGCTTCCTACAGACAGCATATCATGGGTGCTTGCCAACTAACTCAACAAGGTGAAGATAATTAGTTGGTGAAAGGTAATGAAAACTGAAGTCCTAAAAAAAAAAGACAGGCTACCAAAATGGCATCAGTATCAGTCTGGTGTCAGATCACTTGTGAAGGTGTCCTGTAGTGAAACAAGTAAACACGCCCATGATCATCAGCTGATTTCCCAGAATCAGAATTTCAGAATTAGAGAGTATCTACTTGAACTTGGAAGCTTCAAGGTAGGGGCAGTATTGATGTAATTATTATTTAGCTATGGTGTTAAAATTCTTGCAACAATTATTATCAAGGTGATAATGAGAAGACAGTTAAGAATTTTAACTCATTTAAACATCAGTTTTTCTGCTTTAGAAAACAAAGTAACAATGAAAAATAAAAATTCTGAATTCTGCAGCACTTTAAGGATTTGATTAAAGTTTGTGATGAAGTTTTTGGCTTTTATTCTCCGTAGTGTTGGAGAACTACTCCTTCTGTTGCACTGTGTGCTTTCAGATATCTAAATCAGTTAGACATAGTTAGAAAGGAGGACAAAACATTGTCCCTGAAGAAATGGGAAGAACTGTTTAAATAGACCTGTTATTGTTCAGAATGTTTGCTTTCACTTGAAAATATGTGTGGGAGCTAAGGTCTGGAAGAAAACATTTTCAATTATAATTTTTTTTATCAGTCAAACTAATGCCACGATTTCTGCCAACACGAAGATGAAGGTAACTAAATTGGAAAAAATGCTGTGTGTTCTGCAGTGTGTAGTTTGAGGTGGCATTTATGAAAGTTAAAATGTTAGCACATCAGAGCAAAAGATAAATGCTTCATAATAAAATTTACACCACAGTTTTAAGCATTTAACAGCAAGTGGCAGAGATGAAGGTGAGGTTTCCAGGAAGAAAATAGTAGTTTTCAAGAACTCAGGAAGTGCTCCTTTTGAAAGATGCTGTCTTTGGAGGTTTGCTGTGGCTTTGTCTTACAAATAACTTCCTCTGTTTTGCCTTCCCCTCCAAACCAGAAGAGGAAACTAAACATAACATTTAAAATAACAACAGAAAGCACCATTGCTGGTGCTGATGGAGTGAAATGTAATGCTCAAAAATATCAAAGTTCTGGCATTTTCTTAGTTCCTCTGGCAAGAACATGTGAGATGTGTGGCATATAGACTGACTGACTTTGTTATTCCTTTTTCCTTAGTTGTGCAAATACACTGCTGTTCACTTATGCATATTTTTGTACTCACTATATAATACAAAGAACAACTTTGCTAAAGAAAATAGCATCTTCTGCATATTCATAGCTTTGTCCTGCAATATAATCATTACATTAAGGTTAGTTCTTTTGTACCACAGATTCAGATGTGCGTAATTAATTTTTTTACTACCAATACATGACTCACAGGCTTTAAAAATAATCCCTTCCTCCTGCATCCTCCCTCCCACATACATCAGATGTCACAGTAGATGTACTCCAGAAATATTTCCAGTGACTCAGAGTCATAACCACTTAGAAGAAAGGTTATTTCTGAAAAGATAGTAAGTTGTATGTTAAAATTTGAAGCACTTCTCTCTGGCTGGTATAGCAACAAGATGCTAGCTACTGCTAGCAACACCATTCAAATTTCCATGCAGTCAGATTAGAAGCATCTCATTCTTAAGTGCAGTGGATTTTTTTTTTTTTTTTTTTTAGCACTTATTTTTAATTTTCTTAATACTTAAGAATTGAGCTGAAGAGTACTGCTGTGTCACAGTTTATTACTAACAACAGTTCCAGCACATTTCCTTATCCAATTCACATGTTCCATCTGTATTTTATTTCAGCTAGGGAAAATTGAAGCAGAATGTAAGGCCTAAGGTACAGAATTTAAAGCCTTCCTCTTGCAAGTTTGTCCCCCAGAGTCCTCAGGAATCAGAGGACAATCTGTTCTGTAGCACCAAAGATGTATTAAAAAAAAATATATATATATGTATCTTTCACTTTTTAAGTTGACCTGTATTGAAATTAAAGAGAAATTTCATTAGAAAGTAAATTTCTGTGGAGAACGTTTATGGTTTTTATTTTCTAGGGTGAAATAGTTAAGAAGTATACCCAGCTCAACCCTAAAACTTACGAAGACAGACTAGATCTGATTCTAAAGATGTGTGTAGAAGCTGCATCGGAGGCAGTAAATCTGAACTGCAGAATTTTGGGAGTGGGTAAGTTAGTGAATACTTTTCTGTCTTTTCATCTGAGAGTTCAACGTGTAACGAAATGTTACTGACTAATGTAAAGCACTTCTTTCAAACTGATCCTGTGTGTTTTGAACTCTTACACTTCATTCCTACCACATCTGAAAAAATTAACTTTTTATGAAAACAGGAAGCTGACTATAAATACTAAAATTGCTCTAGCCTGTAACAGCCAGGAACGTAATCTGCTGAGTTTTAACAGTGCCCAAGTCATAACCTCTAGCACAGTTAAGCTTACAGTAAAGGCTCCCATGTTACTGAAATAAAATGGCTGTTTGTACTTATTATATGGTTTCTGTACTTCTGAATTTGAATGGCACATTGTAAAAGTTCTCTGACTTAAACATATATGAAGTCCATGGTACACAGAAGTGGATTGTGAAATTCCCTGCAGAATCTTTGTATTGAAACAGGTCTTGAAACAACCTCAGCTGAGCTCAGTTTGCTTTGTTACCTGTAAGCCTTTCTTTATGGCCAGGGTTGGTTGTGCTGTAGAAGTCTCAGTCACACTGGGGCAGAACAAAAAGGCTACAATCTTGTATCAGTTTTGCAGCTAACAGAAACAAAGGCAACATTCTTAATTCATTTCCATTTTGCTTACACTGTAGTAGAGTCATAGAATGGTTTAATTTGTGGGAGACCCTTAAAAACTATCCATAGGCAGGGATATTGCACACTAGTTTGGATTGCCCAAAGTACCCTACCCAACCTGGCCTTGAACATTCCCAGGGATGGGGCATCCACTGCTTCTTTCGGGAACCTGTTCCAGTGTCTCACCGCCCTCATCATGGAATTTTTCTTCCTTACATTCAATTTAAGTCTCTTGTTGTTCAGTTTTAAACCATTGTCCTTTTTCCAGTCAGTGTATGATCTGGTAGAAAGTCTTGCAGTCTTTATTATAAGTTACCTATGTACATTGAAAGTCTTGTCTTCTCCAAGTGTTTTCTCCAAATTTTTCTCTTCTCCAAACATTTCTTTTCTCCAACCACAACTCTCTCAGTCTGCCTTCATGGGAGATGTTCTTCAGCTCTCTGTGATCATTTTTGTGGCCCTCCTCTGGATGCAATATAACAGGTGCATGTTTTTCTTGTGCTGGGGACTGAGAACTGGAGACATTACTCTGTGAGAGGTCTCATGGGAGCAAAGCAGAGTGGGATAGTAATCTCCTTCAATGTGCTGGGCATACTTCTTTATGCAGGCAGGATACAGTTGTGTCTTCCGTCCATTAGCACCCCCAAATCCTTCTCTACAGGGCTGATTTGATCTATTCATCCCCCAGTCTGTACTGACCTTGGGGATTACCCCAGCTCAGATGCAGAACTTTACACTTGGCCTTGTTTAACAGACCCACTCCTCAAGCCAGATAACATCCCTTCAGTCTAGCATATCAAAGTTATTCTGAACTTTGAAAGTTTATTATTTTTGAAACAGTGTTAAGCACAGAGTCAGTAAGAAGTGTCAGTTTTGCACTTTGCATCTTTCAGACTACCTGTTGCATAGTACCCATGACTTAACCTCCCAGACTAGTTTACTGTGCCCAGATGCTCAGTCTTGAAAGCCTCACACTTCTTGTAGAAGTGGTCGCAAACTCTGCATTAATAGGTATCCCAAATGTCTAAGAACTTTTTATCATCGCCTAGGTGAATTAGGATAATGGTGTTACAAGAACCAATATACAGTGTTATTATGTGAAGAAAAAGCTTTCCTTTTATTTGTTTAATTGTGTCAGAATTACATTCCTATTTACTTGGCAGCCCACTTTCTTTGACTTTCAGTGACTGACTGTTACTGTTTGGTTGCTCTTGAAGGAAAAATTTTGCTACAGAATAAGATACATTTCTTACCTGGTTATTTTGTTTTTGCTAACTGATACTTGTCTCATTCAGTGTTGCAGTTTGAATCAGACTGTTATTTGAAATTAAGATTTCTTTTGTAATTTCTATGGGAATAACTAATTTGCTAAATTATCATTATTTCCTCAAGGCTAAAAATCGTAAACTCATAATGTCAAATCATAATCTCTTCTGTCCTGCAAATACTTAGAAGGACTAGACTTGATCCTAGAGCCACTGTCAGTACTACTGATTAGTTATCATAGGTAATGGTAAAAGTAAAGGCATGTTTTAACAAGTTCTTGCTGAGTTAGCATGGAAAGCTTTTTTTTTTGGTAGGATTTTCTGACTATCTTTAGATAAACTAGAGAATTACATAGTGTCTGCTCTAGAATGATGACTAAAATATCCAAACTGTGGTGTCTAGACCCAGATATCTCTATTATTGAGTGGCTTCTCAGAGGTCCTGAAAGAGTCCATCAGCTTTAGAATCCTCTTCAGCTAGAGAAAACTGGTTAATGGTAACAATTCTCTTTACATGTCAATAGTAGCAATAACACTGGCAATAATACATGGAATTTTTTACCTTACCACTTTGCTTCAACACTAATAGGAGAAATAATACTTCTCAATGCACAGAGAAAAACTAATTTTTACTTATGGTCCTAAAGAGACTTAGTTCTGCTTTTTCTCTCCTGTACTTCTGGGACTTAGGTATTTCCACAGGTGGACGGGTAAACCCTCGAGAAGGAATTGTGCTTCACTCCACAAAACTTATTCAGGAGTGGAGCTCTGTAGATCTCAGAACCCCAATATCTGATGCTCTGCACTTGCCAGTCTGGGTGGACAACGATGGAAACTGTGCTGCTCTAGCAGAAAGGAAATTTGGTCATGGAAAAGGAATAGAAAATTTTGTAACACTCATCACTGGTACAGGTGAGTATGTTATAGTTCAGTGAAAAGTGAAGTTGAAACACCAGAATACTCAGAGGCTCATCTGGTTTTAAAAGCATAAACACCTGATAAGCACCTGTAAGGCTCTGATATATTAACTTCTTAAACCACAAATCCTTGTGCCACTATATCTTTGTTTGTATGTTTGTACTTTTATTTAGGTGAATGATATGATACCCTTTGCATGGTACATCTTTCTTGACAAATGTAAATTATGCTGTTGCTGACAAGACATTTTCTTGAAATAAGCAAAATTTGATCAATTTTACCTGGAGTAATTTTAGTTTGTTCAGATCTACATCTTAATTAATTCTCTTCTGTCTGCAGAAATACAAGATCAGAGTATATATGTAGAATAGCTAGATAAGAAAACTGAGTAAGACAGATAGTATCTCAAGTGCAGATGTAGACTTTTCTTCCTAAGCATACAGTCCTTTTGACCATTTACCACAACATTTACAGTATTCTTTATGACTAGTTATTCTAAACAGCTGTTGAAATACAGTATTAAAACCTCTGAAAATAAAAAAATTTAAGGCCACTTCTGGTGTCATCTTTGAGGAAAAAAGCATGATCCACAAGCTTAAGAGATCTGTTACAGTAGTCCTGTGTCATCCACAGATTTTAAATAAGATTGGTGTTTGAAGACTGCATTTTACTTTTTTTTACTATTGGCTGGTTTTGTATCTTTGCAGGAATTGGAGGTGGAATCATACATCAACATGAATTGATCCATGGCAGTTCTTTCTGTGCTGCTGAGCTTGGGCATATTGTAGTATCTTTAGATGGACCAGAGTGCCTATGTGGTAGCCAAGGATGTATAGAAGCGTATGCCTCTGGAATAGCATTACAGAGAGAAGCTAAGAAACTGCATGACGGTATCTATGGTTTTATTTTTGAAAACATTTAAATGATTCCTAAATTGCAGTATAGTTTAAAAAAAAAAAAAATTCAAAGGAGACATTGAAAAAAAGACCTGCCACCAGGAGGAGACAATAGCAGGTATGCAGGCAACTGGCTAGAAGGTCTTGTGTATAGGCAGTGGAGGAGCTGCAACAGCCTGTATTAGTACCAAACAATTCTTTTTCAGATATGGTAATATGCAGTCATGCCATATTTAGAACCTCTGGCTTCAAAATTGCAATAAACATGTAGCAGAGTTCAGTTTCTTCTTTTTAATGATGTGGTAGGTTTTGCAACTTCACAGGCATTTTGTGAGCAGTTGAGTTTCACAGGCATCATCTTTCAGCAACAGCTTCTCACTCTGTTGACTGAGTTTGATAACATTTATATTTGATTTTATGAAGGTTTTGGTGCAGGTAATCATATTAGTGAATTACTTTGTTTGAATTTGATGCTCTCCTTCTACAAGCAGTTCTCTGAACTGTGATCACTAAATTCAGAGCAGAGCCGATAGCTCAAATTTCAGTCTTCAGAATGTAAGTAGAGACATAGAAAAATTAATTGCTGTTTATTCCATTTCTTAAGTTAACACATCACCGTTTTTATCTCTTGGCTTTCTCTCCTCCCCTCCAAACAGAGGATCTGCTTTTAGTAGAAGGAATGTCAATGAAGAATGAAGAGGTTGTTAGTGCTGCACATCTCATTCAAGCAGCTAAACTTGGAAACACAAAGGCAGAAAGCATTCTCAGAACAGGTAAGAAGATAGCCAAAGGTGGAAAAACCCTCCCATGATTAGATTTGTGGGGATACAGATATGGTAATGCACTCTAACACTACAAACACAACTCCAATGTACATTTGAGGACCTCTATCTGTATAATTTCTACCTGTAATGAAATGTTAAACGCAAGTGTTGGAGGAAGTGTGAGCAGAAGGTATATTGAAGATTTTCTGTTCTAATAAATAAGATTAAAAGTTCCTGAAAAGATCAGTTTGGTCTTAAATGAAAAAAAGAAGTGAGGTCTCAAGGTCTTCATATTGAAGAATTTGGGAAAAGACATCTTACTGTATGCAAGTGAATGTCTAGTCTGAGCAAGCAGAGGCAATTTGCCTATCATTTTACATGGGATAATTTACTATTTTTCTAGCTTGAAACATATAGTCATAGAATCATGATCAAGGTTGGTAAAGATCTCTAAGATCATCCAGTCCAACCGTCCACCTATCACCAATATTTCCCTCAAAACCAAGTCCCTCAGTGCCACATCTAAGCATTTCTTGAACACCTCCAGGACAGTGATTTCACCACCTCCTTGGGCAGCCCATTCCAGCTCCTGACTGCTCTCTTGGAGAAGTATTTCCTAACATCCAACCTGAATCTTGCCTGGAAGAACTTGAGGCCATTCCCTCTCATCTTATTACTAGTTACATGGGAGAAGAGGCTGACCCCCACGTCACCACAACCTTCCTTCAGGCAGTTGTAGAGAGCAATAAGGTCAATCCTGAGCCTCCTCATCTCCAGACTGAACAATCCCAGCTTCCTCAGCCACTTTCCATAAGACCTGTATTCCAGACCCCTCACAGCTTTGTTACCCTTCTCTGGACGTGCTCCAGGGCCTCAGTGTCTTTCTTGCAGTGAGGAGCCCAAAACTGAACACAGTACTTGAGCCATGGCCTCACCAGGACTGAGTACAGAGGGCCGATCACTTACTGGCTGCACTATTTCTGATAGAAGCCAGGATGCCATTGGCCTTTCTTCATACATAACCTGGTAGCACTGAGAAGTTAGAATGCTTAATGCTTTGCTGTTTTCTTCTAGAGTACAAGTGTGGTAATACACAGCTTGATCTTTCACATCCATATTATTGAATAATGCACTACTGCACTTCTTTTTTTCCTTTTAAAGGAAAGATTAATACAGTCTGATAACATAAGTTCAAAACTTGTAACACTCTTCTGAATACTGAGTTATTTGCTGCTGTCAGATCTATTTCAAAAAATTGTGTTTGCACTGCTTTGAGTATTCCATGTAATTTCATTTATTTTTTTCAGCTGGTACAGCATTAGGACTTGGAGTTGTGAACATTCTGCACACCATGAACCCCTCCCTTGTGATCCTTTCTGGAGTTCTAGCCAGCCACTATATTAATGCTGTCAAAGATGTGATACATCGACAGGCTCTGTCATCTGTTAAAACTGTGGATGTGGTGGTCTCAAATCTAGCAGACCCTGCTCTTCTTGGAGCTGCTAGCCTGGTACTGGATTATACTACCCGTAGAATATACTAGGTGCCTGGAAGAATTACAGAAATGAACTATTCATATTCCTTATGGGTGGAGGGAATACTTTGCCCAAAATCTTTTTTTGACCAGAGCAGCTACAGAATCAGAGTAATGATGTTCTAAATAGTTAGTGACTACTTCGACATTTCCTAATTGAGGTATTAGCTTTTTGTAGTTTTTCTAAATTTCATCAAAATTCGTAGGAACTATTGTGCAATTCTGTTGATTTTAATCACCTCAAAGCCCAGATGTTGCTTAAAGTGTAGCTGAATTATTTATGAGCGTATCTTGATGTAAGGTAGGGAATATGTGTATTGTGTCAAATTATAGCTAATACTTGGGGATCCAGTTCTCATTTTTCACCTTTGTGAAATGAGAAGTCTACAATGTGACCAGCTTTTCGATTTACAGGTTTCCACCCACACAGTAAATAGGATACAATCACCAACAGCAGGTGTTAGTTTCTGTAAGTGGAAACAACAGGAGGTGCCTCCGCAAACAAAGCTCTATTTAGAAGTGGTTTGTGAAGGACTTGGAGGATACAGTTATTTATTACATCGCCATTAGAGGGCAGAGTCCCATTTTAGTAGCTTTGCATATGAAGGAGAAAGACAGTTGTCTCGTGAGCTTGCAGGCTGCAAGAGCAGTCCAAACAAACTGACAAGTGTAGCAGTGTTCACCTTTGTGTTCTGGCTACAGCCCGCAGTAAGTATTTTTATTTTTGAGGTTGAATTTCATTTTAATGGGTATTCTCGAGGGACTTAGTCTACCACTTTGTCTCCCAAATTAGCAGAGGGGACTTTATTCTTCAGTGGCCAGTTATCTGACAGGCAGTAACATGGTATATATAAGCATAAAGACTGCCTTTTGAGAAATCTCATTCACTGCAGAGTGACTTAGCGCATCTCCTCAGCAGTGCTGGGGATGCAGGTGAAGTGTCAGTGATGTCCTGCATTTACCATCATCTCATAGGATGGAAAGTTAAATCTGAGCCTCGTCCTCACATTTATTAGCCTTGGAGCAGCTAACCTTAAAGGCTTGCCTTATTAAAAAACAGTTTATATGACACTCTGGAAATTTTTACAGCAAACATTCTGAGAGAGAGAGAGGGCTTTTCTGGGACCTGCATAGAGGCCGAAGATCACACAGTGTACTGTGTACATTTAAGGAAGGCAGGTTTCTTTAGCTTTAAGTCTTTATTTGATACATAGTTCTGTCTCTATTGATCTGCTTTTTGGCATGCTTTCAAGATACTGTAATACTGACAATTACTTGACACAAGAAGAAACTTAAAAACAGGACAATGTAAGTGGTCAGCTATCCCAGAAAGAAGACAGCAGCCAGAGAAACAATCTTGTATCCTGGCATTTAATGAATCATCTACTCCATAGTAAGGATATACTGGCTCTTAACCTTTGCTAAGTTGCATCAGGCTTAATGTGTTCCTTTTCATTAGTGCCTGGATTTAGTTGATGGGTCCCTTCACTAACTAGACTAGACTAGACTAACTTCAGTAACTTCAGTACTAGAGCAGTAGCTCCATGAGAAGGTCAAGGAGTCTGTTTTGATCTACAGTGACAACAGCTCAGGGTGGGGATAATAGTATTGAGGTTCTAGCAGAGAGAATACCTATCGTTTGACCTTTCCATCCCCCCAGCATCACAAGGACTGTTTGATAAAAAGTGGGACCAGGTTTTGCTCTCCAGACTTCCCAATGCTGTTTCCCTTTTGACATCTCAGATAAAATTTCTCCTTAGCAGCTGAAGGGAGATGGCAGGCACTGACAAAATATGAAAGATGTTTAAACATTTCAAAACATTTGATAAAATAAAGCAAAAGTCTATTTTCTTTAAGAAAACAATTATTAAAATGTTTTTGAAGTTGTTTTTTTCTGGCAACTGGACAAAACCAGCTGCAAAGGGGCAAGTGGTGCAGAAGAAGTCCTTGGTTTTCCTGAGACAGTTGTCAGTTTATAAAATTAAAAAGATGTTCATATTTAAAAGTGTGACTTTTGTTTGCTTTTTCTGTTATTTCTTCCTCCCCTGTTCAGAATCCTGTCACACCTCAGACACTTCTTTGTGAACCAAAGGTTTCATGGACACTACTCTTAGTCCTAGCCAGTGCCAGGGGAGAATATCTACAGTGCCATGCTGTGTGATTAGTATATGTTGACCCTGTGCACTTTAAAGCACCCCACTCCTTGAAAGTCATGAGCCCTACTGACAGCAAAGCGGCCTTTATATCCATTTCTGGGAGGGCAGAAAGGCAATAGCTGGATTTCCTTTTTCCAGCTATCTTCAGCATTTTCAGACTGTAAAGAAATGTGAGACTTACACAATCGTGCCTTCCCGTTACTGTACTGGAACCATCTGCTAAAGCCACCTGTTGGAGGAGATGGAAGTCTGTTTTTACGATGTGCCTTGTAAGTGCACGTGGTATCACAACTGTGCTGAAGTTTTAACAAGGTTGCCAAGCATGCCACAGTCAACTCTCTGAGCAGAATGGCATATGGCTCTGAGGAGCATTCCAGGAGACCCCTTGGGACACGCATTTTTTATCATCAGTATTAACATGCACTAGCAGTACCTGAAATTGCATAGTGCCAAAAAGCTGGAAAGTAATTTCAACTGATGCAGGCTCAGTGCTGTACCTTACAATTAATGTAATCACTACAAGACTTCTGTGTGTCCACATGCTGCATTGCTCCATCTGGTAGGAAAACTAGTCCACTGCTGATTGCCTGCTGATCTCTGCTGATGTTTTGCAAGCAGCATAGCTACTCAGCACTGCAACAATGTCTGGAATGTCTTTTTAGTCTCCTGAGCAACAAGCGTAGTTATTCTGTAATTATTCTGTCTTTGATCTGCTGTCCAGAGAGTGAAAATCAACAAATGCCACAGTCTTCTGGAGGTCCTTCCATTTAAATGGTCAAAAATTGGGATGCAGAACCAGTAGAAATATTGTTAACGGTGTATTGCAGAAACAAATCATATTGCACAGTGAAAGTCACCTGCCTCAGTGAAATCTGATTACCGTGCCTCTCTCAAATGCAGTGGAGAGTATACAGGCATTAATGAGGGGAAAATGCTGGAACTGTACAGCCCTCAGGGAAGTCCAAGTAACTTCAGAAAATTGCTCATCAAAGGCACACTAAAACCCTTGCTTTGGCAGCTGAAATGTCCTTGCTAATGTCATGCATTTAGTACAGCTGTGTTTTAGTCTGGCACCCAGCTGTGTTTGCTTTGTAGGCTGAAAGCAGATACCTCGCACTATGAGTATGTAAGTAAGTGTTTTAAAAACAGCTAAAGATGCTCATGAGGTTCTGAAGAAGACACAGAAAGCCAAAGTCCATGGATTAAGTTTGCACAAGCAACTGTAGCACTTTTGGGTTGGTCCATCAGCTAATTCACACAAAGCACGAAACACATACTTTGCTCTTTGGAAACAGAATGATGCCCAAAACACTGACTGTATGGTACACTCCAGTTTGGTGTAAAATCATACTAAGTTTACATTTTCCAGAATGAGCAAGGCAACAAGGACATGGGTAATGCAGCCAATTTTCTGCTACTCTCATAACCGAGGGAAGCTTTTGTGTGCACAGCCTTCCTCCTGGTCCCATACAGGTATCAGCAGTACTGTAAGCAAACCAAAGATCATTATGAATCTTTAACTTTTAGCTGAAGAGGATCTTGTTTGAGAGCTCACATTTTTTTTTTTGTTTAAAAAGAGATAGTACCTCCCCACACAATCAGGCTTTGCTTTTACAATCAGGCCACCATTGCTACAACTCCTAATTTAAACGTACTGTCCCATACCCGGTCACAGCACAAAGGCCTCCATTGAGAACCTTTCACAATGAAGATCAGCAGACTGCCCAGGCTTGCACAGACTACACCCAATGCCAACATGCTGCTGCAGCATCACTGCTCTGCAGAGGAACAAGCTTGCCCATGTGACAGGTACCACCAGATGAATCCTCTTGTCAACCCCAACAGACAATCCCTTGTCCCTTCTCAAATACTTGCCAGCAAACTATGTGTTCTCTTCTTGACCAGCCGCAAAAAAAAAAAAAAAAAAAAAAGTGGTTCATGCCTAATGGCAACTTTCACTTGTGTTCCACTGGCTAAGAGGTTCCTCTCAGAGGCAGAAAGATGCAGGGCAGTACTCAGGTTCCTATCTCTAATGAACTCGTGGCCTTGACACCACCCCCCTTCAGCTCTACATACGCTCATCACCATTTCAGGCCAGTATGGTCTGTCTGCCACCTGACCACAGGCTAAATGAAGCCAGTCATATTCCAGGATGTATTCAGTAAAGTCTACAGCTTCTCTCAATGCTGCTGGTGTGCATACAGCTGGAATTTTGTTTAAAAGATGGGAATTGTCCATGTTTTTTGAGATTCCATTGATAGTTTTCTTCAGCCCCATTACTGCTACGGAAATAAACAGTGGTGGGAAGAGGACTGAGTCTGGTCAGCTAGGCTAGACCCAGTGCAAAAGTGTCATGCCAAGTCACAGAACAGTGGCAGATGCTCACCAGAAAGGAGTCTGTTCTGAAGCACAGACAAGGAGTTAGTTTCACCCAGAGAAAGTTAACTGCCTTTTTGCTCTGTTGAATATGGCGTAAGTAACAAAAACAATTTTCAGACAGCATGAGTACAGTATGAGTATACTACAACACACTGACTACTTACAGGCACCTCAGTGCAAGAGAAAACACAGACACATTGGTGCACTGAGGTGACAAACAACTTAGAGCACCTCTCCTACAGTGCTGAGACTGTTAAGTCCGGAGAAGTGGAGGTTCCCACTTATCAGGGATTTTATCAGTGTGTATGAATAGCTGGAGGGACAGCATAAAGAAGATGCAGTCAGGCTCTTTTTAGAAACGCCCGGTGCCAGGACAGGGCACAATGCATGTAAACTGGCACACAGAAAGCTTCCTCTGTACTCCATGTTAGTCTGCATAAGGAATCCTCCCCAAACTAAGCTAGGCTTTCAGCTCATGCACACAAGATTAAGAAATCCTACACATTAGCTAAGCTACTATATCAACCAGAGCAAAGCTGGAATCTGATCTGAATGCTGGCATCTGAGGCAGCCTCCACACCAAAGGGCTCCGCATGTGAAACTGGTATTGAATAATTACATGGCAAAACAGATATCCCAACAAGCAGATGGATGTCAGAGTTTGTAACTACTCAATGCCCTTGTGGTATTTTTTGTACCTAAAACCTATAGCCGGAGTGAGTTTGTCACCTAGCAGAAAACTATCAACAAGGTAGCGTCCTTGGTTCAAACAGAACTAAGATAAGCTCCTTAACAGGCCTGGTGCTCCAGTTTCCCAAAGCTTCTGCCTTGTGTAATAAATTGGATAAGGAAGCAGTTCTAACTAAAGCTCTGAAGAGCTTTAAGGAAGCTTACAGAGAGACAAGCAGGACAGCCTCTGAGAAACTAGAGATACTTCTGGCTAGTCATTCACTAGCACAGAGAAACATTTGATTTAAACACTCCCTGTGAAAAGAGTGCAGGAGAGCTTCTGAATTCATCCAGAGTCAACACATTTTGCAGTTTAACACATCTTTAATATCAGTAACGCTGGAAGTGACTTCTCAGTGCAAATAGCACAGACTACAGTTCAGGAGGTTCTCTCATTTAAAACAAAGACATGAGGAAGAACATGCAATGAAACAGTGATCAGCTCTAGATACATCATGTTTGGTCCAACAAAAACATAGAAACAATTAATCCAATTACAGCAAACATAGCTTCTCTGAGTAAGGTTAAGATATTGCATTTGTAGTGTTTCCATTGTGCCTTTCTTCAGCGAACCAGCGGAGCCTGCTTGAGTGAGATGAGGACTGAACGCATGCGGGACACATCTTTAGCCTGCTTACTAGACTTGGGATTAAAGTCACAGAGCTGAGCCACGCGTTCCCACTCAGTGCCTGGAAAAACGTCTTCTGCATCACTCACAAAGGCTTCTTCAGCTGCCCTGAAAGCAATGCAATGGACCTTGTGTTAATGCCCAACATAAGGCACTCCTTCCCACTTACAGGATGCAGTTCCTTTCAGCACGTTTCATAAGAAATGTGACCTGACAGCTGCTTGTGAACATCATGGCTACTTAAGCTCCCACTGCCCCAGCCCTGGAGATGGAAATAGGTTGCAGTAGTATGCTATGCACAAGCAGTGCAAAAGATTGCTGTGTAAAATGTTGGAATACAGGTGTTTGGTTTTAAGAGTAGTCACTGAGTCTTTGCCTACAGGAGTCACCAAACTCCCAGAAGGTAAGGTACTCCTGTGCAGACATTTTATTTATGGAAAAATGCCCAGGTCTTAAATATTTAAGCTTCTGTCACTTGATGGCTTGCTTTGGACACTTGCCAACCAGAAATTTACAGTTCCCTGCAAGCATGTCTTAGAATAGATTCCATTTGAGGATTTAAATCAGTCCCAAGGCCTTCAGGCCATCATAAAACTATCTGCCGATGTTTCCCAATGCTGTATGGAAGCAGCATTAATCACAAGGAACATAAGTAATGAATTCCATGCCTGTGGGTGCTGTAGTCTAAAGCACATCTTGGCAGATAGGATGACTCATCTAAAGTCAGCTAGCAGGATAAACATGTTTCCCCTCTTCTTACCCTAAGGATACTCTAAGGAAGCTTTATACAATATGTACAGGTTAGCACCAGGGGCTTCCCAGCAGTATCCTTTTGGCATTTCTGTGCTACCAACAGCATTGCTTCAATGCACGTGTAACAATCCAGTATCATTTACTGGAACTCTGGGGCCCTGGTAGCTGCCTGAGTAAAAGAGCAGTAAGCATTGAGAGATCAAACCAAATCCATCTACTCCAACAAGCAGTACAGAAAAAGCAGTGAGGATGACTCCCCCATGAGGGTTCAGCACTGTTCACAGGGATGATAAGGTTACAGACACCACTGAAGACAAGGATCACTACAACACTGCTACTTTATGTGACATGACACTTTTAACGGGCAGTGAAGGTTTTTTACTTAACTGTTCTAGGCTGTAGCAAGGATGATTTATGTTTGTGCTTAAAGGTGAAGAGAAGAAAAGAAACGAGAGAAAGTTTAAGTCAGATATAGAAAATGAGAATGAGTTTAATGCAGATGGTCAGCTGGCTCAACATGCACTAGCAGTTTGGCCTACATTCAGGAAGCATGCTGCCAATTTTATTCTGCAGCACTTGCACTGCACATTTGCTACAGGAAAAGAAGGATTTTATTGGAAAAAATCTAAGTTAACTCCAGGAAACTTCAGAACAAAGTCAAACACCACCTGTAAATCCATCATTTCACAAGTCTTGCTTTACATCCATCTACAGTTAGGTAATGAATTCCACACTTGACCTTCAGTATAAATGCACTCAAAGACAAACCATGGTTCACCAGTACACCTTCTAAAGGTGTCACCTTAGAATCTGTGACATGGCCATCTTTCAATTCAAGTCTACAAATTAAGGGAAGAAATTAAAATACATGAACAAGCCAATGAACCTTGCAACCCTTTTGCCCCACAGAAACTAGCATAATTACTGGGGCTTGAAAATCCTGGCTGTCTTCTCACTGATCTGTGAGGCTGGCAATACATCTGCACATATGTGCTCTTTCACCAGCAGTTACTAGCTTTCTAGTACCATCATCTTGTTTTTTCCACATGTTCTCTAATAGCATCCTAAATTCTATAGGCACCTCTTCTCCTCTGATTTAAGCATGCAACTTCTTCCCCTTGCACTATATGTGAACCTCATTTTAATCTTTTTCTGATTATTTAGTCAAATGGAACAGACCAGGAACACAGTGCCTATGACAAAACATGCTGTTACACTTTATACTTCACCATGGAAGTGATTGGAACTAAACACAGCACCCACATGAGACTCCATCTGACTGTAACCCATACATGCATCAAAGCACCTTGTTGTATTGGCCTGGAAGATCAGTAAACTGAAGCCCAATGTATTACAGGGTACTGAATCACTGACAAAATTCCAGTGGCATGTATTCTACATAATTTAAGTGTGCTGGGTATGATCATCACAGGAAAACAGCACTTAATGCTGCAGATCAGAGTCAGGACAAAAAACAGGCTACTATTCTACTTTTTTTATTATTATTATTCTACTATTATACTGGCTGAAATATTTGGCAGAAGACATCTTCAGACATTCAGCACTATTTCAGACCCTCCTCATTTACCTAGCTGACTAGCAAACAGAATTAGTAGTTAAGCAACATACACATAACCAATCACGTCAGCGAAGGGCTGTTTGTAGAAACCTTCATCTGCCACCCTAGGTAGCAAATAGTCCAACAGGCAGGCAAGCAGGCAGGAGAAAAGAGATAAAGATGAGAAGTACAGAACACAACCGAAGGCAGTTTTAAAAAGCAAGTTTAACTAGTATCACCTACACTCACTGAAACAGGGAAGCAGCTGCCACACAGAACATACCAATTAAGCTGCTAACTCAAGGGGGAACACAAAAACTCTCCTATCATAGAAAATTAGGACTACCTAGTTTAGGGCTAGTCCCAGTGTTGGCATGACATCATCTCCAGATACCAGAGACTACTTGAAGTAGAGAGATCTCACCAGGTTGGTGAGAATGCTGAACATCCCCTCAGATAAACACTTGACTTTTCTGACAACAGCTCTTTTTAAATTGACCTTACTCCAGAATGCACACCCTGATCTCAAACCACTGGCCAAGACAAAGTTAAAGAGGTAATAAGCTCTTGCCACCGCTTGTAACAGCTATCTTGTTTTCAGCCCAACAGAAAGACTGTGTCTGAGGGAATGAAAGCGTCAAATCCATAGTTCTGTAGGAAGTATAAAGTCTCCTTTTGTCATTCAGTAAGTAAAGTCTACTTAAGACTACTTATGATAAACCAGCTCTTCAGATAGGAAAAATGGCATTTCAAAAATCATTTCAATTTGAAGTCTACAGATTCCCAAAGTTTAAAGCAGCCCCAATGATTACCTGAAGAAAATGACACTGGCAGACTTAGGTCAGAAGTGAAGTCCTAAGCGTTATTAAGTCAGCATTATCATATTTACCTTTATGTAGCCAGAAGTCAAAGTTCTGCATGGAACTCATAAGGAAATGTAAGAATTTACTAGATTGTGCCTAGGTCACTTGTTTCTGCTCCACAGCCCATAAGAGCCAATTCAAACATGATGAATTTAATGAGTTAAATAGTCACTCACAGAACTCTGCTTATTTCTCATAAACTTCCACAAGAAGCAGCCAAAGGTTTTAAGATATCTAATGAAATAATCTGCTTTGGAGTAACTAGGAGACCACTTCCAAGTTTCTGAGAGCTGGCAAGTAAGACTGCTAGCTGCAAGGTAATTAGCCACTGAAGAGCTGTGCAGCTAGGTACATACAGAGAAGTGAGCAGACTGAACAGTTCTGTCCAAATTCAAGCTTTGTATTAAAGAAAGCTTCTGGAATGGCTTGTTATTTCAGTGTTCCCATTTGGACATTTAAGCTAGCCTCTAAAGAAACTCAGACTAGTGTACAACTGGACACTCATCTCTTAACAGGATAGTTAGGGGGCTGAAGGACTAGCGACTTAGGATATAGTAAACATCCTACTCTTCTCTCCTTTGCCTAATTACTTCCACAGCCAGCAATATAGCTCTTCAGATGGCTGGAGAAATCTTACCTGTTGCTAGCTTTTGTTTTCTGGAGCTTTTCATCTTGTCTGGCATACCACTCCTCCAACTCCTTTATGGCTTTCTCCTTCCATTCTGCTTCCTGTTTTCTTGAGTTAGCATCTAAAGATTCAAGAATTGATTTATCAGTCATGTTTATTCCAATCGGATTTCATTAACATTTCAACTGATAGTTCAGGGTGTACTCTAGTGCAAATTATTACTTAATCCACTCAAATATGGTTTATGAGGTTCTCTGATTTAGGCCATGAGAACTCTAATGCCCTCAACATTCAGAAGATTAGCTAAACAGAATGTCCCTGTACAGCACTGAGACAGTCTAGTTCAATTTAGTCTAAGCATATGTAGACTAATTATAATACAGTCAGTCTGCTAGCCTGCAAACCATTCTAAAACACTGCCACTTTGCTACGGCTGTTCTAGAATAAAGCTCAGTAAACTCTCTACATTAGACAAATTAAGGGAATGTGATACTCAGTCTGCCTTTACACCCAACTCACAGTTCAGGATAAGCTCATCTGTTGTAACTAGCATAAAAGAGGAACAACAGACTCAGCTCTGTCTGGAATCATATGTTCAGAAGGCTGTCCTAATGGTCTCAAAGTAAGGCCTCCTCGTTAGTGAAACTGGAAAGTACACCAGTTTAGAGTTGTCCACAGGTAGGTGTGGCTGCCTTTGATAGCTGAATTTAGTTACTACTTGGTTATTTAATTTCACTATGACAAAACGACAAGTGGCCTCAGCAATCTTAAAATGAGCAATCTCCTTCCTTGAAGAAAAGTGCTGGCAGTTGTATCTACTCATTCTTTTCTGCTGATAAAAGCTGTTCATTTTCTGCTACAGAACTGAGGAACTCACTCGTAAGTTAAACAGGCCACTTCAGTAGTGTAGGAAGAAAGTTCAGAGAACCACTTGCTTCCTAACTCCTACACCAATATTAAAAGTTTGCTTACTAGAAGTTTTACCCTGTAGGCTGGCTGCTCAAGCAGCAAGTTGAACTCCAGAAAGCTAGAGGCCATTGTTTGAAAAGCTCTCCTGCTTAAGAAACTGCCACTTCTGAGTTTCAACCAAGAATACCACTACAACAAACAGTCTCCTTACCAAGCTGCTCAAGGCGCTCCTTTTGCTCCTCTCTCCACTTACGAATGCTCTCTGGTTCTGACTGCAGTCGATCTACTTGTGATATGGCAGCATAGCAGTCTGTTGGACCATTGCTTTCCTTGGGGAGAAAGAAATGTCATTTAAACATTAAAACTGTACATTTCAGTAAATACCTGCAAGCTACAAAAAGTAGAGATTTGAACTGAGCATGTGATATTCTTCTGATGCTATACCACATTCATACCACATGATGAAAAATCTCTGGCTATAAAGGGCAGCACAATTGATGTAAACTAATATGAAAGTTGCCTCTAGCAACTGGGGATCAAACAAATTCAAGCTAACCGGGAATTCAAACTGTGTCAGAGGTCTAAGACCAAAGAAAGAATAAGACCATTCACAGAATCTCAGCTGTAGGCCTACAAACCCCCCAGCTAATATCACATTAAATATTTGCAACAAAAGTATATTTTTGGAGGGTTTTTTTTTTTGTGCACAGGAGATTGAAGTATTCTCTATAATTTGCATTTGTCTGCTTCAGAGAAATTTGCAAGCCTCAACAGAAGTTGGCTTCTAACATCGGTTAGAGGTATTACAGAATTGGGACTACTGTAAGCTGCTTAGAACACAAGATGCTTTTTTTTTTTTTTGCTTAAATTTTAAAAGGTATGCTAGCACTTGCAGTTTATCATACAACGTTTCAAAGACTTGCAGTGCACAGGGTTATTAATACATTAGACTTTCAAAGACAAGTGCATTGCCACAGAGCATTCTCCACGTCCAACCCTTTCCAGTGATTCACTATGCCCTTAACAGACTAAATACCTCATCAAGTGGAAGCTCTATCAAACAAAGCAGCTATTGGAATCATAAACAATCAAGGTATTTCATTTGCCTTTTATTGTATAACTGAAAACCAATAACAAGCAGTTTTCCCAAGAACCTCACAGCAAGAGTGAGGATATAAAAACAATAGCAGTGAAAGCAATTTGTTTCTGTCCATCTCAGTGTTCACTAATGTCTGTGGAAAAGTAGCTTATATGTTGCTCCCTTTTAAGTATTTATCTAAACAGGGCTCTCCAAAGAACTCTCTCAACAATCAGCAATGCCTTAGCAAAACAGGTATTAAATTCAGCTATACCACAACAATTGTATGAGCATGCTCTGTTTCTCCCTGACACACACAAAACATTGTCTGTAATACAACAAACACGCTTTCATAATGTGAATGAGCCACATGCCAGTAATTTAATGTCATGCAACTTTACATCACTAACAAATATATTTTCAGTCAATTTGTTCCTTGTAAGACCAATTTTGATAAGACGACATGAGTTATCATTAAAGAGTAAGCAACTTGACTCCGAAGTAGATAATCAGAACATGTTCCATTTGGTTTATTAGCCTGTATCAAGTATATGCTAAATCATACCATAGAACCATAGAACCATAGAACCATAGAACCATAGAACCATAG